AAACGTTTCATTAAAGAAGAACTCGTCCAGAGGACCTATGCAATTTTTTTCCTTTGATTTTTTACCTGGATTACTGAGATTCATCAGGACATATCACCCAAAACATTGTTGTCTGATTATTGACTATATTACAGACCATTTCAATCAATATTTGTGTGTTGATGTTTTTTATATTTCTCACAGATAAAGGATCAATGAGTTCAATTTACTAATTTTTCATAAAAAATGCACATTACGTTTTTTTTATATCCACTGAAAGACCTTACACACACAAAAATCAATGATTATACATGAAATTAATTTTTAGGTTTTTTATTTTTTTTTTACAATTTTATCTATGTACTATGTAGACGTAGGGTGGGTTGCAAATGTATTAAATGAATTATTTTCATTTTATATGTTGATTATCAGAATCAGAATTCTCTTTACTGGCATTCAAACATAACTGCAGTTWAGAGCACCCATTCAATAAAAGACACAAATAACATAACCATCACAAAACATGGTGGAATAGGTGAACAGGTCATGCTACGTTTTTGGTGGCAGCTGTGGCAGAGTGGTTAGGGGAGTCATCCTGGAACCGGAGGGTCACCGGTTCGATCCACCGTCCAGCTGTCTCAGTTGTTGTGTCCTTGGGCAAGACACTTCACCCTTAATGCCTCTGATGTGTGTCCCATCAGTGTATGAATGTGATTGGCACTGATTAGTCTCCATAGATGATTGTTCATGTTAGCTTTGCAGAGACCCAATAAAGTGCTGTGTGAATGGGTAAATGAGGACACAGATTGTAGTGTGAAGAGCTTTGAGTGTCCTGGATGGACAGAAAGGCGCTATATAAGTACAGTCCATTTACCATTTACCACTTTATAGCAGCTGGAAATACACAATAGGCAGGTTGAGTTAAAAAAAAAACTTGTTCTATGTTTACATCAGAAACACAGGGTCATACAGTATGTACAAAAAAATGACYCGTGATAGAACAAGACAGCCTGGATCAAGAGGGAGCTTAGGTCAGATAACACATGAGATGGGGGTGGGGATCAGTGGAGTCGGGGACGTTGAGGTCTCTGTACTAGGACCAACCATAGCCCCTCCAGAGTTCAGAGTCACATGATGTTATTTAGCTCAGCTCGCCAGAGTTCAGAGTCGCCTCCTCCTCGGCCTTGGGTTCATGGCCAATTCCAACACGGGTGATGGGGTGGGGTGAGGGAATCAAGCCCTTGCTGACATATCATCCTGGAGAGTTTCAGATAAGCATGGCAATCAAGGCCATGCCGCTGGGAACCGAATAGACAACACAATTGTTTGGGACAAAACAGCCTTGAATTTTCTGCTTTAATGTCTTTACTGCATCTCTGAAAGTGGTGAAAAAACTTCAATCAGCCAAATTCCATGGTCTCTTGCCTCTTTACCATCTGAAGCTTCACCCAGATGTAATCCTACAGTACATGCCAGAGGCATGCTTCTGAGCTGCGATCCTCGTCAGAACTACATCCAGTTTGCAGCTTATCTCCCCCAGCTACTGAGTCTGTGTGCTTCCAGCCCCGCACAAGCCTTCCTCTGTGCCTGACATCTTCTCAACAGCCTGGACCGCTGTTAGGGTCGCTTTCATTTTTCGATAAATCAGGTATCCGCCTCCTCCGATCAGCAGATGTCCAGTTACAGTGGTTTGCAAAAGTATTCATACCCCTTGAACTTTTCCATATTTTGTCACATTACAACCACAAACATAAATATATTTCACTGGAATTTAATG